GAATCGAACCAGGGTCGGCCGCGTGCAAGGCAAATGCCCTACCTGCTGTGCTATCGCTCCAGCCTCCCTTCTCCTCTTAAATATCACACTATATTATAAATCTACTGTGAGAAAGAAGAAAAAATAAATCCTGGGTTTTGAAAGACCATAGAGTCAGCGCCTGAGTCATAAGACTATCTGAAATTAGGGAACTCAGAAAGTTAATCCACCCCTTCGTTTTAAGGCTGAGGAGATGTGTAATGCACATGGTGAAAGGAATAGGAGGTTATTAAAAATTCTCTGAGCCACTTCCTTTTTAATTTTTTATTTTGAGGGGGCTTGGGCCATACTCCTAGATCTGTGAGGTTTTGGAGGGATGGGGGCGAGATTCATTCCTGTTGGAGAACCATGCAGTGACAGAGTACCAGGTCGGTTGCAAGCAAGGCAAGTACCTAAACCACTAAACTATCCAGCTTCCATTTCCTTGGAGGTAAAATAATGAAGCTGGTCTCTGAAACTTGCCTCACTAAGTAACTGTGGAAACAGACGTGTGCTTTTTATTTCTGATTTCACTGTCCACAGTAAGTAGATTTCCACTCACTACTTACTTCCTAGATGGTAATTTTCACTCTGCGCGGAACCTTCAGGGGTATTCTATGAAAAGACTACAGAGCAGAAGGCACTGAAGAGCAATCAATCACACCTTTAATGAGTTCCTTCTCTGCAAGGCAATATTTTTGGAATAGCAGGAAATAAAAAGAAGCCAATGGGTGGTCCTGCCCTCCCGTGCTTTATAATCTATGTGAGCAAGGCAGCCAGACACAGAACAAAATTGTTCCTGGGGAAAAAAACAAAAACCCACTAAATTGGGTAGTAAGGGAAAAATGGGATAAGATGATGCTAAGTGGAAGAATCATAGAAATTGGCTTGGAGGTGTTTGGAAAGAAATCCCAAGGAGGGAATCTTGATAGCCTCATCATGAGATACAGCTGGAAAAGTTTGGTCAGTCTAAAGGTAATGATGAGGGGCCAGGGTGATAGATCAACCGGTAGGGCACTTGCCTTGCACATGGCCCACCCAGGTTCCATCCCTGGCATCCCATATGGTCCCCTGAGTACCACCAGGAGCAATTCCTGAGCAAGAGCCAGGAATAATCTTCAAGCATTGCTGGGTGTGGTCCAAGAAACCAAACACATAAAAAAATTTTTTTTAAAAGGTAGGGCTGGAGCGATAGCACAGCGGTAGGGTGTTTGCCTTGCACGCGCCGACCCGGATGGACCCGGGTTTGATTCCTCTGCCCCTCTTGGAGAGCTTGGCAAGCTACCGAAAATATCTCACCTGCACGGCAGAGCCTGGCAAGCTCCCTATGATGTATTCGTTATGCCAAACACAGTAATAACAACTCTCACAACGGAGATGTTACTGGGCCTGCTCGAGCAAATCGAACAACGGGAGGACAGTGCGACAGTGCTACAGATGAGGGTGAGGAGGGGGGGATGGGCCGGGGGTGGTGAGAGTACTACTGGGATCATTGGTGGTGGAAAATGGGCACTGGCGGAGGGATGGGTACTTGATCATTGTATAACTGAAATGCAAGCACGAAAGTTTCTAAGTATGTAACTGTACCTTAAGGAGATTCACTAATTAAAAAAAAAAAGAATTGAAAGAGCTATGCTTGGAATATCGCGTTTCACTCAAATGAGAGAAAGAATTCGGAGTTCCGACATCCGTCGACGATCAAGAATCAGGGACGCTGTCTCATTTGCCAAGGTGTCAAAAATCAGATGGGCTGGTCACGTAATGAGATTTAAAGACGACCGCTGGACTAGAGCTGTTACCAACTGGATTCCACGGGATGTCAAAAGACCACGTGGCCGCCCTCCTACCAGATGGTCAGACTTCTTCATCAAGATCATGAACGATCGGTTTGAGGCTCTTCATGTTCCCAGAGCGAACAGATGCCATTGGTCTACACTAGCACTCGACAGGGACAAATGGAGACGTTACTGGCGCCCGCTCGAGCAAACCAATGACTAACGGGAAGTGATTAAGTGTGATTAAGTGATGAAAAAGGATGTGGAGTGGCTGCAGAAATAGTCCAGGGGTGATTGCCTTGCACGTGGTTTATCCAAATTTGATCCCTAGCACCACATATAGACCTCCAAGCACCACCAGGAGTGACTCCTGAGCACTGCCAGTATGACCCAAAACACAAAAACAGAAAAGGTTTGCTTCTGATGGAGGACATTGTAAAAACAGCTCAGTGTTTGGGAAAATTTTATGGATATGTAATTTTTTTTTCCTTGCCATGCCAGGGACCAAACTCAGGGTCTCACACACTTAAGGCACGTGTTTGGGCAGAGCCCTGGATATGTACATATTAGATAAATGGTTTTGAGCCACACCCTGCAGTGCTTAGGGGCTATCTCTGGCTCTGTCTTTAGGGGTCATCTTGGCTGACCTCATGGAAAGCAAGCGTCATACCCCTTAAACTATCCAGCCTTGGCCCTGGATACATTTGAGTAATTTAAGCAATCTTCTTAACTCTCCTCCTGAGGTTAAATATTTTGTTACATAACTACCTTATGTAAGAGCCCTCACTATTTCAATGAAAGATCCACGATCTCCTCCACCTCTTGACCAGAAGGTTTTGGAAAGAATTGCCAGGACTTCTCTTGTGCTAATTAAAGTGTCCTCAAGTGTTCAACCTCTGGATGATGATGAACCTAAAAGTGTTCAAAACAGGGCTCAGACTCCAAGGAATCAGCTGCCAAGTGCTCTCTAATGAGCAGAAATTTCACATAACTCAGGCCTCAGGGGGCTCGGGCCTCCGCTGGAGCCATGCCAGCAGCACTGGTGTCTGCAGGTGCTTGTGGGCACATGGGGCCTGCCGGGACAGCAGTCTGGCCGCTGTGGCTGGTCTAGGAGCTGGCTGGAGGGCTGAGCTTCTGCTGACGCCTGCAGCTTGAACAATCCTGCGCCACTCTTTGCAAAGAAAATTCTGCTCTCGTGGCTTTGGGGCTAAGATACTTGCCTCATCTTCTCATTTTCCTCATTTTGAATTCCCTCATTTGGGGCCCCAGGTGCTTCGCAGTTTCTATTTTTATCCTTTGAACTCCTACTAGAGACAGCCCTTTTTTTTTGGGGGGGGGGGGTTGGTACATGCCTGGCTTACTTACCTGGAGGTACATGCTTGTTGCTTCCTCCTGGCTCTTTACTCAGGGATCACTCCTGGCAGGGTTTGAGGGACCATATGTGGTGCTGGGAATCAAACCCTCATCAGCCATGTGCAAGCTCTCTGATCCCTTTCGAATTTCATTTTTGAGGTCTGAGGTATAGAAGCCAAGTAACCATTTTTCAAAGAGCACTGGACCAGAAAGTTGGGAGGCCTGAGATTTTTCTGCTTCCTCACCGTGGACTCCGGGCCAGAGTCTAGCTCTCCTGGGCTGTTCCCTCACCTCTTCTAGCTCAAGTTGAAAGAAGCTGGTGAACTGAATCACTCATGAGTAAAAGCCATTATAGGCTCCTCTCTCCAGAAGTCTACAATTTCTGGGGACCCACCCCTACCCACCAATCTACACTCACTCCAAGCAAAGGCTGTAACTTCCAGGGTCCAAACTCTTCTCTATTCAATTAGAGGAGGTTTTTCATATTCATATCCTGCCACTTCCCCTGACATTATGCTCTGTTCCCACTGGAATTCATTTGGACCACACCTAAGGTGCTTAAAGGTTACTCCTGAGTTTGTGCTCAGGAATCACAGTCTCATTCCTGGCAGTGCTGAAGATAGAACAGGGGTAAGCCAAGCACATACAAGGCAAGTACTTCACAGCGGTAGGGCGTTCGCCTTACAAGCAGCCAACATGGCCGACCCGAGTTCGATTCCTCCGCCCCTCTCAGAGAGCCCGGCAAGCTACCGAGAGTATTCGATATGCCAGACACAGTAACAACAAAGTCTCCAATGGAGACGTTACTGGGCCCGCTCGAGCAAAATCCACGATCAACGGGAGGGCCTTTACTTTACTTTACTTTACTTTTACTAGGTCTCCAGTCCCTCACCTTGGAATTCTGGCATATTCCTACATAACCATGGTTCTGAAACATCTTTGAGACCTACCTTTTGTTACTGCAGAGGTTTACCTGCAAGAAGACTTGGTCCTCTCCTGCATTACAGCAAGTACGTAGGTGATTACACAGCAGAGTGACAAATGCCCGGAAATCATTCCTTGGCCTTTGCTTAAGGGGTTTCTCTTGCTCTGCTAATCCCGTTTCGTGGTCATCTGTGAAGATGACTCCAATATTTCTCCTGTGTTCTGCACCGTGTCTCTGTTTTTTTTTTTTTTTTGGGACACTTCTAGAGATGCTCAGGAACTGCTCCCTGCCTTGCTGGGGGTGGGAAATGGGGGCTGGGGGCCGGCCTTCTGAGATCCTGCACTCAGCCTCCTGGGCTATCTCTGGCCCACAGGGCGTCTTAGCTATCACTTAACCGCAAAGAATCTCTCACATACGCTTGGTTATTTCTGTTTCCTCCCTCGCTAGACCGCCGGCTCTCAGCTCCGTTTTGCACCGTTCATCTCCAGACCTCAAAAAAGAACTCTGAGGCCTGTGCACGCAGTAAATTCGAGATCAACCAATCAAGGCCAGCGTGAGCCCGCAATCCAGCCAGGCCGACCTGGAAAGTGCTTCTCGAGGCTTGCTTTTGCTGGCCGTGCCCAGGCTGCAGGAGCCGGGAGGACACACGGGGGACACACGGAGAACAAAACCCGGGGGGGGGGGGGGGCGGGCGGGGGAAGGTGACAACGAGCACTTCTCGGGAGCCGCACTTCCAGGGCCCCGCCCCCCGCCCCGCCCCGCCCCGGACTGCCGGCAACTCTGGGACCTCCCGGAAGCGGCTCCGTCCGGCTCGCCCCCGCGCCCCGGCGGTGGGCGTGTCCCTCCTGCATAATTAACCGGCGGGGGCGGGGCCGGGCCCGCCCCCTCGGGCGGGAAGGGGGAAGCGCCGCGGCGGCCGCCTGACTGGAATGAGGGTGGCTGCGGCGACTGCGGCGGGAGCGGCGGGAGCGGGAGCCGGGCCGGCCATGGCGGTGTGGACGCGGGCCACCAAAGCGGGGCTGCTGGAGCTGCTGCTGAGGGAGCGCTGGGTCCGGGTGGTGGCCGAGCTGAGCGGGGAGAGCCTGAGCCTGACGGGCGACGCGGCGGCGGCCGAAGCCGAGGCGTCGCTGGGGCTGGCGGCGGCCGCCTTCAACGGCCTCGCGAACGGCGGCGGCGGCGGCGGGGCGGGCGACTCGCTGCCCGCCAGCCCGAGCCGCGGCGGCCTGGGCCCCCCGAGCCCGCCGGCCGCGCCCGCGCGGGGCCCCGCGGGCGAGGCGGGCGCGTCGCCGCCCGTGCGCCGGGTGCGGGTGGTGAAGCAGGAGGCGGGCGGCCTGGGCATCAGCATCAAGGGCGGCCGCGAGAACCGGATGCCCATCCTCATCTCCAAGATCTTCCCGGGGCTGGCGGCCGACCAGAGCCGGGCGCTGCGGCTGGGCGACGCCATCCTGTCGGTGAACGGCACGGACCTGCGCCAGGCCACCCACGACCAGGCCGTGCAGGCGCTGAAGCGCGCGGGCAAGGAGGTGCTGCTGGAGGGTGAGCGGGGCCGGGGCGCGGGGCGCGGGGCCGGGGCGGGGGGCGCGGGGCGGGCGCCCGGGCCGCGCTCACTTTGTTCCTCCCCTCCCCCGCCGCGGCGCCGCGACGCTCCTGGCCGGGGACCCGGGCCGGCCCCGGACGCCCGACTTGGGACTTGGGGCGGGGGTGGGGATGGGGGGGTGGGGCCCGCGCCGGCCGCTCTCCGCACGCCCCCCCCCCTCGGACACCCCTCCCCACCCCACCCCCAAAACCCACCACCCCACCTAGCAACCCCGCCCGGCCTCCCGCTTGCGCGCGGTGAGCTCGAGCCAGCTACCTCGAGAGCGCGGGGGCGCTCAGGGGGTCGGCTCCTCGGTGGGCTCCCAGCGGTGATCGCCGGCGATGCGCTCCCTCGGCCTTCCCCCCCGCCCTCCAGCCCCCCGAACCGAGCCGAGGCGTCCGGTTTAGCGTGACCGGCTCGCGTGCCCACCGGCGCCGTGCCCCGGAGGGCGAGACGCGCCGCCGCGGGGTTCCTCTGCGCGCCGAGGCGCGCCGCTCCGTGGGCGTTTTCGAAGAAAGCTGAATTCTCTTTGCCTGGAGTGAAGTTAGGAGGCGCGTGATCTTACACCGGAGAGGTTTATTTATTTATTTATTTCCCCCTCCCCCCTTTTAACGAGGGGTGTGTGGCGATATTAAAGGCCGAAATTCAAAACTCGGCACCTGAATAGACACGTGTAAGCCAGTTGCTCGCTTCAGACGTTTTTTTTTTTTTTTTTGAGTGATGGGCTTTCTTGATCCCAGGCGGCTCGGTCGTTCCCGGACCTTTTTAATAGCTGGTAAAGGGAAGACAACGGAAAAAGCGAGGTCCCTGGTCTGTAGTTGGGAGAGAGGATAGGAAAAAACAGAACCACACCCACACACACACACACTAAAAAAAAAAAAAACAACCAGAATCCGCCAGCGACTTACGAGTGTCTGATTGTGCAATGCAAACAATATATGCATGCTAAGGCAGTGCAGAGTTAGGAAGTAGTGGAAATTGGGTTTTAGTCAAGGAGATGTTTTCTGGGCAGAGATGAGTCAGGAGGGTATTCCTGCAGAGGAAAATCGGGAATGGGGACAAGGAGGAACTAACTCATCAAAGCCCCAGCCCAGAATTCCAGCTTGGCAAAGTGATTTTCACTTTTTTTCCAGACCGGTTTGTGAAATTCCAGTGTCCCACTTTCTTTAAAGGATTTTTTCCCTTCATTTAGTGTCAGGGTGGAACTCTGCTCAGAAAATAGGGTTTGTAAAAGAAGTAGAACCACAGAGAGGCACTTATGCAATGCCTATGAAAAAACCTTGGAGAGAGTTCAAACAGCTTTGCATGTGGGAGCATTGGGGTCAATTTCTGGGTACCACATAGTCCCCTGGACCCCACAGGGTATTCCCCTCAGTTAGTTCCCTGTCATAGGTATCTTAAAGTTGATCTAACTAAGTTCTTAGAACTAACATAACACTATTTTTGTAGTGTTCTATGATGAAGATGCATAGTTTAAACCTTTACAACAGATTTGTTTTGGGGCCACACTTAATCTGGCAGTATCAGGGCTTACTTCTGGCCCTATGCTGCTTTAGGGATCCTCCCTGGAAGTGCTCAGAGAACCACATGTGGTGCTGGGAATTGAACTTGGGTCGGCTGTGGCAAGGCAAGTGCCTTAACTGCCCTATTACCTCTTTGACCTGGGTGGGTTCTTTTGTCCTGTTTGTGAGGAGGTACAAAATAATTGTTTTTATTTTGTTTTGTTTTTGGCTACACTCAGCTGTTCTTAGCTATTTTATACATCTGGTTCTATCCACAGGGATCATACCTGGTGCATATTGGGGATCATAAGTGGTGCCAGGGATAGAACCCTCGTCACCTTTGTGCAAGGCAAGCTGCCTACCCACTGTACTATCTTTCTGGCCTTAAAATAACATTTTCGTGGAGTTCATGCCCAATTCAATCATCTGATCAGTGGCTGAATGAATAGCAGTACTCCTACATAAAAAAAAATAACATTTTCAAGTTAAAGGATATAAAATTACCTAGAATATGCAAAATCTCTAAAAACAGTGATTTAATGTAACCAGTAAAATATTTGAAATTGAGATCTGATGTCCCATCTAGAAAGTAGGTCACTTTTAATTGCTAGATTTTATGCCAAGCTCTTGAAATTTTGGAAGTATATTAACCTTCTGTTAGATGTCTCAAAACTTGAAAAACTATCTTAGCATAGTGATTCTCTTTTGTGGTGTGGGCAGGGAATTTCAGGCATGCCTTTGCCACCCCCTAGAAGTAAAAACTGTTCTCTCTGGTTCCTGTGATTAGGGACCTGAGTTTAAAGGGCTCCTTTTTTATCTCTGGGATTTGGAGGGATTATTTATTCATCAAACATTTATTCAATATTACTACCCACCAGGGATACTTGAAGACGCCTGATTCTTGGCCACAGGAAGTTGTAGTTGAGAGAGAGAGAGACAGAGACAGAGACAGAGACAGAGAGAAAGAGAGGCCTGAGACACAGCAGGGTGATTGCTTTGCATCTCAACAGACTGCATGCACACTTAGCCAGCGCTGGAGGGCTGGGAGGTAGAGCACCTCTAGGAGGAACCTTCTGCAGTGGGAGTAGCTTCTGAGCACTTCTGGGTAAGGCCCACTCCCCCCAAAAAGTCCTTTGTTGGAGCCACAGCTCAGTAGGTTAGCATGTTTTGTATGTGAGAGGCCCAGGTTCAATCCCCAGCTCTGTTCCTCAAAAAACTTTAGGGCTCCGTGCTGGAGTGATAGCACAGCAGGTAAGGCGTTTGCCTTGCACGCAGCTGACCCAGGTTCGATTCCCAGCATCTCATATGGTCCCCTGAGCACCGCCAGGAGTAATTCCTGAGTGCATGAGCGAGGAGTAACCCCTGTGCATTGCCAGGTGTGACCCAAAAAGAAAAAAGAAAACATTTTAGGGCTCAAGAGGCAGTACAGGGGTTTAGGCACTGCTTTGCATACTGCTGATACTAGTTTGATCCCTGACACCACATATGGTCCCCCAGCACTGCTAGGAGTGATCTCTGAGCACAGTGGGTATGGCCCCAAGTCAAGAAACACACTTGTTTGTCATTAATTTAAAAATAAAAGGGATAAAGAATAAACATGCGGCTGGAGCAGTAGTACAGCAGGTATGATACTTGTCTTGCACATTGCTGACCTAGGTTTTTTTCATGGCATCACATATGGTCCCCCAAGCACCGCCAGGAGTAATTCCTGAGCGCCATCGTGTGTGGACGGAAAACCAAAATCAAAATATATTGGGGCTGGAATTAGCACGGAGTGTCTGAGCTTGTGCTTTACTTTGCAGGAGGTCCAGGGTGAATCCCTGGCACCACATGGTCCCCAGAGCACTACCAGGAGTGATCCCTGAGTTATTGCTGGATGTGGCCACTCCTTCCCCCCAAAACCCAAATAATAAGTATGGTAAAGAGCTAAAATAATATAATCATAGAGAGGAATCTATATGCTGGAGAGGGTTCGAGCAATGCTTAATAGACCAGAGGTTAACAGTGCCCAGGCAAATATTGATGGGGAAGTTGAAGGTTGTATTGAGCCCCTACCCTAGTAAGCTTGCACCATCAAACACGCAATGAGAAACCTTTGTGTGTGTGTGTGTGTGTGTGTGTGTGTATGTGAAGCAAGGAGGTTTTTATTGAATGAAACTTGCTTAGAAAGATGTGAAAGCAAAGAGGGGGGATGTGTTCAAGAGAGAACCTGGGGACCGGAGCAATTGTACAGCAGATTAGGCTCTTGCCTTGCAGGTGGGCGACCTGGGTTTGATCCCTGACACCTTCTATGGTCCCCGGAGCCTGCCTGGAGTGATCCTTGAGCGCTGAACTAGGAATAAGCTCTGAGTGCTATTCGGTGTGAACCAAAAACAAAAAAGTAGAGGTGGGGAGAGGAGAGAGAACACAGCCTTCTTTAGTGGAAATACAGAAACAGAGACAAGCAAGCGAGATATGTTTTCAAGGGAGGACAGGAGCACAGACGCTATCTTGTGTAGTGAAGATTGTGCACAAATGAGGATTTTGTGGTCAGATATCCTTGGGGTTGTTTCTGACTAGTGGTTTGTAACCCCTAGGCGGGTTACTCAGCCTGTTAACTAAACCTTAAGTCTCCTCATCTGTAAAGCCAACGTGATTATAAAACCTCCCTCCAAGGCTTATTGCTCATTTAACAGTTGATGGGCTGGGCACATTTCTAGTCATGGGGAAGGTAGTAGTAAACAACCCCAAAGAACAACAACTGGGGCCGGAGTGATAGCACAGCGGGTAGGGCGTTTGCCTTGCACACGGCCGACCTGGGTTCGATCCCCGGCATCCCATATGGTCCCCCAAGCACCGCCAGGAGTAATTTCTGAGTGCAAAGCCAGGAGTAACCCTGAGCATTGCTGGGTGTGCCAAAAGGCAAAAAAAAAAAAAAAAAAAAAAGAACAACAACTGAGGTCAGAGTGATAGTACAGTAGGTAGGGCGCCAATCTAACTTCCATCCTCAGGACCCCATGTGGTCCCCTGAGTAGGAGTAATGCCTGAGCACAGAGCCAGGAGTAACCCCTGAGCATGTGGTTCATAAACCAAAAAGATAAAAGACCAATGACCACAAGTCAGGGGTGTGACCCAAGTAGTAGAGCACAAGCTTGCCCATGTGTCATCCTGGAGTAGGTCCCCGATATCACATGGCACCATACCCCAGCATGAAAGCATGAAACTGCCTGCACAGCAGTTTAAAAGAAGGGGTGGGTAGAGCAATAGTGCAACAGGTAAGGTGCTTGCTTTACATGTAGTGGCCCCAGATTTGATCCCTTGTACCTCATGTGGTCCCTGAGCCCCACCAGGAGTGATCACTGAGTGCAGAGCCAGGTCTTGAACACTTCTGGGTGTGGCCCAGTTAGAAAAAAAAAAAGAACAAAGTCTGAACAGTTGAACAAAAGCATTATCACCAAAGCCAAGATAAGACTTATTAG